CACCCGTGCATATGACGAGGAGCCAACCTTGATGATGACTATGTTAGAGGAATCGTCAAGTGTCATTTTTCTTAATGAGGAGAAGGTCATGCTGGATTTACTTACAGCGGGGGAGGCACATGTTGATAACAACACTTGGTACCTTGACAACGGAGCTAGCAATCACATGACCGGCCACCGAGACAAGTTCAAGGAGCTCGACGAGAACATCAAGGGAACCGTCAAGTTTGGTGATGGATCCGCGGTAGAGATTAAGGGAAAAGGCTCTATCCTCTTTCAGTGCAACAACGGCGATCAAAGGCTACTACCTGAGGTATATTATATTCCAAGTTTGAAATCTAACATTATTAGCCTTGGTCAGATGACTGAAGATGGGAGTAAGGCTGTTATTGCTGACGAGTTCCTGAGGGTGTTTGATAGGAACAGTGCTCTCTTGATAAGGGTGACACGTTCAACTAACCGATTGTACAGGATAGAGTTAAAAACTTGCAAGCCGGCATGTTTGATGGCGAATATTAACGATCCAGCTTGGTTATGGCATGCTCGCCTTGGGCATGTCAATTTCTTCGCCCTCAAGATGATGACTGATAAGAGGATGGCTTCCGGGTTGCCGAAGATCTTGCACCCGAATCAACTATGCGAAGGATGCCTCGTCGCCAAGCAAGCAAGACTACCATTCCCTTCGTAAGCAAATTTCAGAGCTCAGAAGCCACTGGAGTTACTACATGCTGACCTATGTGGTCCTATCACCCCATCTACACTTGCGGGTAACAGATATTTCCTTCTTGTTATTGATGATTTTAGCCGGTGGATGTGGGTATACATGTTGAAGGCCAATAGTCAAGCTTGTGAAACCTTCAAGAAGTTCAAAACAGAGGTTGAGAACGCATGTGACCACAAGGTGAAGACATTGAGGACAGATCGTGGTGGCGAGTTCTTGTCAAAGGAGTTCACCAAGTTATGTGAAGACTACGGCATCAAGCGTCATCTCACTGCACCATACACCCCGCAACAAAACGGTGTAGTGGAGAGGCGTAATCGCACGGTGATGGACATGGCGAGAAGCTTAGTTAAAAGCATGCATATGCCCGGAACGATGTGGGGCGAAGCGGTTAGACACGCGGTGTACATACTCAACCGACTACCAACCAAGGCATTGCACGACCACACACCCTACGAAATTTGGTTTGGTAAGAAATCCCACCTAGAACACTTGAGAGTTTTCGAATGTGTGGCGCATGTGAAAATTACAGGTCCTTCACACAAGAAACTCGACGACCGGAGCACGCCAATGGTGTATATTTGGGTAGAAGAAGGAAGCAAAGCGCTTCGCCTCTACGACCCTCAACACGGCAGAATTCATGTCAGCAGAGACGTCATGTTCGAGGAAGGAAAAGAGTGGGAATGGAGCGCCGATGGAGTCGAAAGATCACCCAACTGGGTGGTGTTCGCAGCGGAAGGGGAGACTGCAGCAACCGGCACAACAGCCGGCGCATTTCCAGCAGTCCAAATTAGACAGCAAACAAACCGAACTGCTGCAGCAGTCCCTGGACAACCTGCTGGCCGAACAGCCCCTGCAGGAACTCCTGCTGGCCGAACACTGACCGGAGATGAGCCTGGATAGCCGGTACACCAAGCGAGGCAGCCACCTGCTGCCCGAACCCTGTGTTACAATAATATATCAGCATATTCTGAATTATTTCGTTTCATCTTGCTTTTTTGGTGCAGACACTTGAACTGTCACATGCCCTTTCTTCTCTCATGTTGCTCTGTGGCCCCATTGCAGGGTTTATTGTAAGCATTTAACTTTATACTCTTTCTTATACTTCTTTGCAGATATGTCTCACGACACCTGCAATTATCACAAATCATTTCATTTAAGGCATTACGTCATGCAAAAGTGGTATACTCTTAATTGTTTTGTTCTTGGGTTTTGCCTTCAAATTCAACCCTATGTTGGTTTCTATAGTGACAAATGTCAGTCAAGATTTGGAAGGAGAAGACCATTTATATTGGTCGGATGTCTCTTTATCTGTTTAGCTGTGAGTACGGTAATCTCTATAAAGTTTTCTATGTTTGCCCTTGTGTTGTTTTACATCATTTGTTTACCTATATCTCAGGTGATTGTAATTGGATTTTCTTCCGATATAGGCTATGCCTTAGGTGATACCAAGGAGGATTGCAGGTGAAATTCTCTCTCTTACTTGTATTAGGCACGGTTTGGTTTTGGGGAGTGTGAAAAAGGAATTCCTTTCCTTGTGTTAGTTACTGGAGAGTAGTGGAGAGAAAAGAGCATTCCTAAATGGTGATCTCCAGGAAGAAGTGTATGTGGTTCAACCTGAAGGGTTCGTTGTGAAGAATCAAGAGCACAATGTCTACAAGCTTTCAAAGGCACTCTATGGTCTACGCCAAGCACCTCGGGCATGGAACACACGCCTCGACAAGTGCATGAAGGGCATCAGATTTGCAAGATGCACTCAGGAGCAGGCGGTATACACAAGGAGTAACAGAGGGGATACACTCATTGTTGGTGTGTACGTAGATGACTTGATCGTTACGGGCTCGAGGGCGGATGAGATAAAATTTTTCAAGCAACAAATGATGAAGGAGTTCGAGATGAGTGACCTTGGATTGCTTTCCTATTATCTTGGTATCGAGGTGGATCAGCGAGATGATTGTATTGCACTAAAGCAGGCGGCCTATGCGAAGAAGGTTTTGGGTCAGTTCGGCATGATGGATTGCAACCCGACACAATATCCCATGGAAGCAAAGCTAAAGCTTGGAAAGGATTCTAAAGGAACACCGGTGGACGTGACGGAATATAGACGCATTATCGGATGCTTAAGTTATCTAACTCACACCCGACCCGATATCACATATGCCGTGGGGATTGTGAGTAGGTACATGGAGCACCCTACAGTTTTGCATAGACAGGTTGTCAAGCATATTTTGAGGTACGTGAAGGGTACTATGTCCTACGGATTGGTGTACAAACGAGGTCGAGGCAATGAAGAGTTGGTGGGATTCACTGACAGTGACCTTGCGGGAGATGTTGATGATAGGCGCAGCACAGGCGGCATGGCATTTTATCTAGGTGACAGCTTGGTCACTTGGACATCACAGAAGCAGAAGATGGTGGCATTATCATCCTGCGAGGCAGAATTTATGGCGGCAACTGCAGCAGCGTGCCAAGGTTTGTGGTTGAGGAGTTTAATCAGCGAGGTGATTGGGAGTGAGCCCAAGCCGGTCACACTCTTCATCGACAACAAGTCCGCGATTGCTTTGATGAAGAATCCAGTTTTCCATGGAAGAAGCAAGCATATTGACACACGCTTTCACTTCATTCGTGAGTGTGTTGAGCGAGGAAATATTAAAGTGGAGTTCGTGAGCACGAGCGAGCAGCGAGCGGATATTCTCACGAAGGCATTAGCAAGGGTGAAGTTCATCGAGATGCGGGAGCTACTAGGAGTAAGGAACTTGGAGTCTCGTCCAGATTAAGGGGGAGAATGTGAGTTGTTAATCAGTCCGGATTGTTAGTTGAGTTCAAGTTAGTAGATAGAATTCTAGTTAGAATAGAATACTAGTTAGTAGAGAGTTTTCTAGTTATTGGATAAAGATTAGAGTTGTAATCTTATCCCTAAGTGTTTATATATTGAAATAGGCCGCTTTGGGTACAATGCAACAAATGCAATTTTTGCGTTTTGGATGGCTTTTGGAAACATCCTAGGGTACGCTTCTGGTTCAACTGGAGAATGGCACAAGTAAATATACATTCCTTTCCCGTTTATTGGTGAATTATTTGAGTTCAATTATAAAACATTCATGGATCCAATTCCATTAAATGTTCTGATTTACATAAACAAGTAATTGCGTTCTTTATTGCTTTTTTGTTTTAATTTTGACATCCTTTGGGTTAACCTTTGGCAGTTGGCTCCCTTTCCTTAATACGAGCGCCTGTTGTGATGCGTGTGCAAATTTGAAGGGAGCATTCTTAGTTGCTGTGGTAAGTTCTCGTGCTATCTTTTGATATTCCCACTCTATAATGAATAGTTTTCTATGTCTCATTCATACTTTAGGACAACTTTAAACTAGTATATGTGTAACAAAGGACTTGTGTTATAACAAAGGACAGAGAGAACAATTTAAAATCAACCATGTGTATGAGTGTAGGCATACATCAGTACATGTGCATGTGTTGTCATGCATGCTTAACGCTTGAACTTCAGAAGCAAGGATACAATAATATGTCATACCTAATTCTAGTCACTCCTTAGCTGATCATTCAGCAAAATGAACTACTTCCACATATTTTCCTTGCAGTCCTCATCAATTTAGTCTTCTTCTGTAGTTTGTTTTAGCAAATATTTTTGGTATACACATTTTCATAAGGCTCTTGGTGCAACCCAATTCTTGTACAATCCAATTCTTATTCTATGAAATATTAGTGCTCTTGGTTATCCTGGTTAAAAAAATGAAGTGGCAGGTCTTGTCCCCTGAATCAAAGTCTCGAAAGATTGACATTTCAAATCCCTTGTACTAATTTGTGATAAACATGAAGCTCGTGGCTGACTGATTTCTGTTCTGTAACTGTAGTAAGTACTGTGGCAGGTCTTGTCCCCTGAATCAAAGTCTCGAAAGATTGACATTTCAAATCCCTTGTACTAATTTGTCATAAACATGAAGCTCATGGCTGACTGATTTCTGTTCTGTAACTGTAGTAAGTACTAATTCTTCGTTGACTTGCAAGTTTTTCTCCTCTTATCCATGCTGGTTACATTAATCGTCGCAAAAGAAGTCCCTCTGTCTAGTATCCCTGGCAAAGGTGAAGAAGAGCACAGAGCAGAGTTCCTCGATATCTTCAGAAGTATCAAAAACTTGCCTCCTGGAATGCCTTCAGTACTTCTCATCACCGGTCTTACTTGGGTATGTAATTTAGGTTTTTTTAATCTTTAAAGAAGTTAGCATATCCAAGTTTAAGAGAATTTTATTTAATCTCATCATTTACATTTCACAGTTGTCGTGGTTTCCATTCATCCTGGTTGACACGGAGTGGATGGGCCGTGAAGTCTTCCATGGGAATCCAAAGGGAACACCATCGCAAATTGATGCCTTCGACAGAGGGGTTAGAACCGGTGCATTTGGTTTGCTATTAAATTCGGTAAGTACTTACAAAGGCTAACAATAAGGGTGACGCTACAGGCACACCCTTGGCCACACCCCTCTCGCTGCAGTGCAGAGGGCCCCATTTGAGATTTTTAAAAAAATCTCAAGTGGGGCCCCTGCACCGTAGCAAGAAATTCTTGTTACGATCTAACTCTCTTTCTGTGCTGCTGAGGTGCTGCCAAAATTTTCGCTGTGCACAACATAAACCAATGCTTGTGATTTCTGCATATGTCTTATTAGTAGTAAGGCTCTTCATTTTTCTTATTTTAGATTATTCTCGGGATTGGTTCTTTCACGATTGAGCCCCTTTGCCGAAAACTCACTCCAAGAATTGTTTGTGTGACAAGCAACTTTATGTTGTGCCTTGCAATGGTTGCCACTGCGATCATGAGGTAAGACTTGGAAAGCTTCTCTCCATCCTTGTATTGTTCCTCAAGAGCATTCCAGATTTCCTTTGCAGAGGGCTTATTGGTGTAAGCATCTGTCAGATGATCAGCTAGACAATTAAGGAGATAACTCCTACAGAAATAATCATCTTTATCCCAAGAGGCTTCAGACTCTGAGTCTTCTTCAAAGTCAGGTTTTTTCTCAGAAACCACATAGTAGATTTTTAGGAGTTGCATCCCAAAAATCACTTTTCGACGTCATGCGTTAAAATTAGATCCATCAAAGTTTTCTAACTTGAGACAGTCCACTCCAAGAGTCCTCGCAGGATCCATTAGTAGATCTAAAGTATTGCTTTAAGATTGCTGGAAATTATGGTTAAATTTTTCAATTAACTGTTGTGCGTTTGTGAAACGCTATGCTTAAAGCAATATTTGACCTCCGGTGTAAGGATCCCAAGGCCAAACTGCTTTCAGGAATATCAGTCATCATCTTGAGGGCGAAGAAATTGACATGCCCAAGGCGAGCATGCCATAACCAAGCTGGATCGTTAATATTCGCCATCAAACACGCCGGCTTGCAAGTTTTTAACTCTATCCTGTACAATCGGTTAGTTGAACGTGTCACCCTCATCAAGAGAGCACCGTTCCTATCAAACACCCTCAGGAACTCACCAGAAATAACAACCTTACTCCCATCTTCATTCATCTGACCAAGGCTAATAATGTTAGATTTCAAACTTGGAATATAATATACCTCAGGTAGTAGCCTTTGATCGCCGTTGTTTCACTGAAAGAGGATAGAGCCTTTTCCCTTGATCTCTACCGCGGATCCATCACCAAACTTGACGGTTCCCTTGATGTTCTCGTCGAGCTCCTTGAACTTGTCTCGGTGGCCGGTCATGTGATTGCTAGCTCCGTTGTCAAGGTACCAAGTGTTGTTATCAACATGTGCTTCCCCCACTGTAAGTAAATCCGGCATGACCTTCTCCTCATTAAGCAAAATGACACTTGACGATTCCTCTAACATAGTCATCATCAAGGTTGGCTCCTCGTCATATGCACGGGTGAGATGAGCTTCCTGTTCATTATTGCGGCGTTGCTTGTGACACTCCGACTGAAAGTGCCCGTATACTTCGCAATTGAAGCATTTGATGTTAGATTTGTCTCGACCACCGCTTGTGCTACTCTCCCCCTCCTGGCGAGCTGCACCTCCATGGCCGAAACCACCTCCTGGACGTCCTCCTCTGCCGCCGAAGCCGCCTCGGCCTGCCTGGCCGCCGTGCTCCCCTCCGCGGCCTCCGTGGTACTGCTGTCCGCTGCCGTGGTACTGCTGTCCGCTGCCGTGGTACTGCTGTCCGCTGCCGTGGTACTGCTGTCCGCCTCGGCCTCTTTGGCCACGGCCACGCCCACGACCGGCCCCGCGACCTCGTCCTCGACCGCTACCATCATTGGTTGTAGGTGTTGAGAGGAAGCCTCCGCCGTTCTTCTTGCTCCTTGCTTGCCACTCCGCATGCGTCAACAATAGGTGATCGTCGACGTTGTTTCGAAACACACGTGCCCTCTCCTCGTGGGCTTTGAGACGCCCGATCGCCTCCTCGAGTGTCATGTTGTCGATGTCCCCGAACTATTCAATCGTGGAGACGATAGTAAGGAATCTCTCTGGCACCGCCCGAAGAAGCTTTCTGACGACGTAGTTCTCCTCCATCTCGCCGCCTAAAGCCCGGATCTTGTTGACGACTCCTGTCAACTTCGTCGAAAAATCGTCGACGTTGTCATTCTCCTTCATCCGAAGAAGTACGAACTCGGACTTCAAGGTCTGCACCTTCGCGTTCCTCACACGATCCGCTCCTAAATGCATTGTTTTCAACGTCTCCCATGCCTCTTTTGTCGTTTGCTTCTCTGCGATCACCATCAAAGTCTCTTCAGGAATCCCCTGGTAGATGGCCGCCAACGCCATCTGATCCTTCCTGTGTTCCACGGACGCGCCTGCCGCGGGCTCAATGGCATCCCACACGTCTTGAGCCTTCATGTAGACTTTCATCTTGATTGCCCACGAAGCATAGTTGTCCCTCGATAACGTCGGGTATTGAAGAGTGAGCGAACCCACCTTGGTCGTCATCTTCTCCGAACTCATCATCTCTTCAGTTCTTGGTTGGTACTTAGGCATACACCGGCTCTGATACCACTTGTTGGCTTTTAGAATAGGATCGGCCTGAATCAGATCTAAAACTGAGTTGGAAAACCTGTAAACATTGTAGCAACCGAGCAAAACCTGGCAGATTTCTTGAGACCGAACTGCAGCAAAGACAGAGAGACAGAGGA